GGCCAGCCGGGGGAGGTTGGCTGTGGGAGCACACTGACCACCAGGGGGCAGCTTCTGCATTGAGCATCTGCCCCCTGGTGGTCAGTGCGCATCATAGTGACCGGTCGTTCAAGTTGTTCTGGTTGCTTAGGCTTTTATATATATAGATTTGTAGACCAAGTATCTTGTTTATGTAACTCTTCCCAAAATTTTAGAATATCATATTGAAAGAAATCTATTAGACAGTATATAAAAACTCTTGAATAATGCAAGCATCTCCAGAAAGTTCATAAAAGCATCCAGTTGTGTTCTGCCACTGAGTCTTTGGCTGTTGTGGGTTGAGTTGTATCCATCCCTCAAAAGATATGTTAACTCTAATCCCAGCCACTGACACCTAGTGCCTCAGAATGTGACCTTATTGGGAAATAGAGTTGCGTGTGTAATTAGTTAAGTTAGGATGAGATCATACAGGAGCAGGCTGGGCTCCTAATTCAACGAGACTGATGTCCTTATAAGAAGATACCAGAGACAAGAAAGAAAGCAGAGTAAGAACATCATGTGATGACAAAGGGAGAGACTGAATCAAGGCAGCTGCAGGCCAAAAAATACCAAAGATTGCCCACTAACCAGCAGTAGGTAGGAAGAGGTAGGGAAGGATTCCTCCACAGGTTTAAGGGGGAGCATGACTTTGCCAACACTTTCATTTTGGACATCTAGTCTCCAGAATTATGGGACAATATATTTCTGTACCTAGAGGTACTTTGTTACTGCCGCCCAATGAAACTAATACGCTGGCTTTGACTATATTTTGGACTTTCTTTTCAGAAGGATCATTCCATATAGTAATCAACGAAGCAAGGAAAATCATGGAGTTCTTCTATCTAAATATTCCCAGTCCTGAACTGAAACCAGTTTCAAACAGAATCTGTGAACTAACACACATGCTGTCAAACACATGCTGTAGGGGATAAATCTTCTAACCCACATATTTAGGTGTACAAATGTAACTTCTTTATTTTTCCATAACTTGATTTTTAAACAGCAGCTTTGCTGAGATATAATTTTCATGGCATTAAATTCACACTTTTCATGTTTTTACTTTATATATCATTTTTACAAAGTTGTGTAACCATTACCATGATTTAATTTTAGTACATTTTCCTCACTCCCCCAAAGAATTCCATTCCCAGTAACAGTCACTCCCCATTACATCTTTACCCCAGTCCCTGGCAGCCACTAATTGACTTTCTGTTTCCATTGATTTGACTTTTCTGGACATTTTGCATAAATGGAATTGTAAAATAAGTGGTCTCCTGTGACTGGCTTCTTTTACTTAGTATAATGTTTTCAAGGTTCATTGATGTAACATTACTCCATTAATTTTATTATTAAGTAATATTTCATCATAGTGATATATTATATTTTGTTCATCCACATCCGTAGATGGACATTTGAATTGTTTCCATATTTTGGCTACTATAAACAATGCTGCTATGAACATTTGTGTACAGGTTTTTGTGTGTACATAGTTTTCATTTCTCTTGGGTGTGTACTTAGGAGTGGAATTTCTGGGTCATATGATAAATCTGTTTAACATCTAGGGAAGTGATAAGCGATTTTCCATTGCAGCTGCACTATTTTATATTCCCATCAGCAATGTACAAGGGTTCCAATTGCTCCTTATCCTAACCAACACTTGTTATAGATGTCTTATTTTGGCTATCTTAGTGAATGTGAAGTGGCATCTCATTGTGGTTTTGATTTGCATTTCTCTAATAATGTTGAACATATTTTCATGTTTTTATTGGCCACTTGTATATTTTCTTTGGAGAAATGTCTATTCAAAATCTTTGCCCATTTAAAATAATGGACTTTATTTTTAGAGCATTTTTCCTAAACCTTGATACCATATCTGCATCTCCCTTGGCATATGAGAGAAGCATTTTTCTATTCCAAATGCCATGCTATGGTCATGAGTTGGAGGACCTGTGATACTCTTCCAGGCCCATCTACAAATAAAGGTACCTACAGTTCTTTATGTTTGATGGCTCTACTTTTATGGAAGGTGGGAAAAACTGGCTCTTAAATTAGCATGCTCTTTATAAACTTTTGTTTAACTCACACATTTTGTACCCTAAGTCATTCAGGTTCTTGAGGTTTAGTACTCAGAGACCAGTCTTTAAAGGCCAAACTCTTTTCTCCAAAAATTGTCTCTGCCATTGGCTTGAAGATCTATTTTGTAATTCAAAAGCAAGAATCTGACTCCTTTGTTACTTGCCTCCTGATGTCTCTGCTTGAGTTTGAATGGGAGCAGATAACAGGATATAAGGATAAGATATTACAAGATATTATGTTGCTAGATGAGAGGGGTGTCCAAAAGCTGAGTCTAAACAGGTACAGGTTGCACAGGTAGTGAAGCTCAGTGACAGAAAGTGAGCCAAGAGTTATTCTGAAGAATGAACAGCAACTTTGCCTATCTTTCTAAACTATACTTCCAAAATTCCCTGAAAATGACAGTTCCCCAACCTAATATCAATGAAATGTGGCCAGGGTGGGTCCTACTTTAATTATATACATTTCCATAGTACTAGGCAGATGGTGTGGTGGAGATTGCGATTTTTTTTTAAAAAAGTGATTTGTCAGGCAGACAAATCTGTTGGTGCTCTCCTTGCTGTTCTTTATTTTTTTTTAAATTTTTTAATTGATTTCAGAGAGGAAGGGAGAGAAATAGAGGTAGAGAGATAGAAACATCAGTGATGAGAAAGAATCACCGACAGGCCGCCTTCTGCATGCCCCCTACCGGGGGGTGAGGGGGAATCAAGCCCGCAACCCAGGCATATGCCCCTGGCCAGAATCAAACCTGGGACCCTTCAGTCCGCAAGCTGACGCTCTATCCGCTGAGCCAAACCCGCTAGGGCTCCTTGCTGTTCTTGACTGCACATAGTTGGACATGCAACTTCTTAACCAGTATATGAAGACCTTCAAAAATTTGGGCCTGACCTAACCGGTTTGGCTCAATGGAGAGAGCATTGGCCTTCGGACTGAAGGGTCCCAGGTTCCATTCCGGTCAAAGGCATGTACCTTGGTTGTGGGCACATCCCCAGTAGGGGGTGTGCAGGAGGCTGTTGATCAATGTTTCTCGCCCATCAATGTTTCTAACTCTCTATCCCTCTCCCTTCCTCTCTGTAAAAAAATCAATAAAATATATATTTTAAAAAATTTGGGCCTGTTCTTTCCCACCCTCCTATCTTTATCTGATGGAAACACTTTCACTCTTGTTTCGGTCATATTTTACTATGACTTGTAAATTCATGGACAGAGAAAGTATCCTTTGAAACATCTGGATTTTGAAAAAGAAAATTTACAAAACTGATTATTTTAAATGTAAATTAATGACTCAAATTCTTCAGGTTTTTAAGCTAATTAGAATAAACCAGTCATTTTCCCTGCACCTGGGCAAAAATGCATCGAATATCTCTATTAATTGGATTTTCAGAATGCAATCCAAGTTTATCTCTTTAAACTGTCACCTAAATAAAATAATCAATATCCTATAGAGAATTATCAAACATTCAAGGAGGGTTTGAAACTCAAAACCAGTAAATAATGCCAATCAGCAACCTTTCAATCCCTTACTTATAGGATACAGAGGTAAAGAATAGGAGAGAATAAACAAGGGCTACATTTCAGAAAGGAAGGATAAATGTTAAAATGAAAAAGCCATCGAAACTGACAAAGTAAATGACATTGGAAAAGAACAAATCCAGGGATAGGGTGGCACACAGCAGAAGCGCGTCCGGGTCCGGCCCGCTGAGCTGACTTTGGGTGGAGTTTGCCTCCACCTTCAGGGACAAGTTCATTGGCGCGCATCAAGCCACTAGCACACGCCCAGACCCTCTTCCGCGTGCGCACCGCGGGCGGACGCCGCTTGGCTTTGCTCCTTGCCTTTCCCACCTCCGAGCTCCGAGCTCCGATTGGCTTGTTCCACGGAACCGCCCCTTCGGCCGCACCAATGTGGAAGCTGCCCTGGGGCCCCGCCCTCCTG